ATTTCTGAATTTCTGAATTTTTGAATTTTTGAATTTCTGAATTTCTGAATTTCTGAATTTGTGAATTTCTGAATTTTTGAATTTATGAATTTCTGAATTTCTGAATTTTTGAATTTCTGAATTTTTGAATTTTTGAATTTTTGAATTTCTGAATTTTTGAATTTCTGAATTTCTGAATTTCTGAATTTCTGAATTTTTGAATTTTTGAATTTCTGAATTTCTGAATTTCTGAATTTCTGAATTTCTGAATTTCTGAATTTCTGAATTTCTGAATTTCTGAATTTCTGAATTTCTCAATTTCTCAATTTCTCAATTTCTCAATTTCTGAATTTCTGAATTTCTGAATCCCCCTCACTCCGATTCTCCTTCTTTGCCACTGCTCCAATCTCATTGACCATCTCAATGCAATCCATCCATTCTCCGGAAGACGTCCCCGTAGATTCCGAAGACGTCGAGCCCGACGTCTTCTGAATCTTTCTGACTCCAGAAGTCTTCTTAGTCGGACTAGAAGGCGTCGTTGAGATTGATGACGTGGATGGGACCTTTTTGATTACTGTAGGCGAGGGTTTTCGATTTTTCAGAAATTTTGAATTTTCGAAATTTGGACTTTTGGGACGTCCAAGGTAGGTGATAGTGATACGGTCTTGATTTGGGATATTGTGGCTTTTTCTGGAAGAATTTTTTTTCGAAATTAGTTGAAACATCTGAAAAATTGGGTTATAAAATACCCAAAATCGAATAAAATACAAAAAATCCAATTTTTTTGAAATTTGTGAAAAATTTTTGAAAAATTAAAAATTCAAAAATTGTAATACCTTCTCCTTTCCAATGATTCATCGGCTTTCCGTCGAACTTTCGTGGAGTTTGACCGCCGGCGGACGGCCGCCGCGGTCGGCGGACCAAAGTTGGACGATAGGCGGCTGAGCTCGTAGACACTTACACTTGCCAGAGCCATGATGGGTTACTGTAGAAAAAAAGTTTGGAAAATTTAGAAATTTAGAAGTTCAGAATCTCAGGAATTCAGAAATTCAGAAATTCAGAAATTCAGAAATTCAGAAATTCAGAAATTCAGAAATTCAGAAATTCAGAAATTCAGAATCTCAGAAATTCAGAAATTCAGAAATTCAGAAATTCAGAAATTCAGAAATTCAGAAATTCAGAAATTCAGAAATTCAGAAATTCAGAAATTCAGAAATTCAGAAATTCAGAAATTCAGAAATTCAGAAATTCAGAAATTCAGAAATTCAGAAATTCAGAAATTCAGAAATTCAGAAATTCAGAAATTCAGAAATTCAGAAATTCAGAAATTCAGAA